CGTGTCGTTCCTTTTCCAACGTATACACGTATAGGTTTGCCGAAGCGTGGCGAAACGAATCACGAGGTATTGGTACGAAATTTGAATTTCGCAACTCATTGCGGTCGAATCGACGTCGCGCTAATCAACACCTTGGAAATTTCCACGCGGTTTTTCCCTGACATCGCGATTCGCTCTCCGTTTTTGCAACATCCTTCTGCACCTTCGGAAAATGTAAAAAAGAAGAGGGAGAAAGAGCAAGGTATTTGCCACTCTATTCCCGTTATCGACGATCAACCGTAATCGAGAGGTAGAAGATATCGCGGGAGATTATCGTTAGTCTTTGGAGTTTGGCATCGAAGAAGGGAAAAGGACCGTCCCGAGCGCACCATTTCTACGCTGCAGATTGGTGTGTGTGTGCGCGCGGTTTGCATACTCCCAATGCGATATGTTCGCGTCGCGACGTATGTCGTTCCACCCCTTTACATTTCAAATCCCAACTGGCTAATTCGCGTCTCGATCGTTTGCTTTTCAAAAGCATTCACCACCCTTTAGACTTGCGTTTGTTTTTCAACGATCGCGCTATTAATCGCTGCAGCTCGGTTACCGGTAGTCGCGTAATTGCTGGGGTGATTAGATGGTATAATTAATGCACACCCAAAGTTCACCGGGAACGCGCATTAATCTTGGAATAATGCTCCGTGTGCTTTCACCGGCGCGGCGACCAACTTCTATTGTGCAGACTACTCGCATGTCGATTGCACGACTGCAAAACGAACGAAAGGTTTGGAAAACTCGAGCGTGCTGAAATTTATTACCGAAGGTTCTTATTGAAACACGACAAAGACGCTTACCTACCCCTCTTTGTCTTTTCATCTTCGATAGGAATCCTCTTGGACAGATTATGCAAATGCAAGGGAATCCTCTTATTCTCCGCTCGTAAAATCGAGTATCGCCTCTCTCTGGAAATTGTTGCGGAGGTGTCGCTCTTTAAGGTAAACCGATTTCTTTCGACAGAGGTGCGCGCGGCCATAGAATTCCATCGGTTTCCCTGTATCCCGGAATTAGCAAGTAACCGAGAGAGAAACGCGTCACGTCCGGGATAAAGGAGTTCCGGCTCGGAGCTATATGTAGTTAGAGGTGGGACGTATACCGATGGACCGTCGAGAAAGACGAAATACGTACGTACGTTCGTCGACGCGAGCAACACGAATTCCATTCGACTCGAATAAATGCTTCACATCTTCCTCGCTTCCTTCGATGCTGCGACACAGATTGGACGTTTGAAAATTATTTTCTCCCTAGCTGGCACCTTTTTCTTAATAAACGAAGGAACGAACGATACAAGAGTGGATTTTTCGGAGAATCCTATTACTCGCGGATAATCGAAAGTGAGGAAGAAGAAGAAGAAGAACTAGCTGGTTAGTATGCCGGAGAGATTTTCCCTCCTTTTCCAGCACATCGTCTTTTGTGGGCCAGGGAGGCGGAACGAGATATCTCTCTATATTCTTTCGCTAGAGACGGTCTGCTTTCAAGGTATCTCTGATAAAAGCATATCCATGCCAAGTCTGAAAGGATTCGTTTAGAGAGAGTTGCGGTATGAAAATGGTGGGATCAATTTATACAACGCTGAACAAACATCGAAATTGTTTCGTACACATATACTGGACGTAATCGCGAGATTGCATCTTCCTTGGGAGAAGATGGGAAAAGCTAAGCAGGAAAAATGCCGGTTCATCTCTCATCTCTGTTCGTTTCGCCGTAGAATTGGCACGGAGGTGTTTTTTCCTTTTTTCTTTCGCGATGAAACGCGTCGGGGACCGCTTTGGAGATCAAAAATCGGGCCATCGAAGAAAACGAGGCACTTTCTTTCATCGTGCAAGCTACCGAGTGCATTCGAAACCGGCGCTTAAGAAACCGAGTGCTTAAGAAACTTTTCCAGGGATGAAATGGGACGAAGGGACGATGCGTTGTCGATCGACGTCGATGCGTGAAATACGAGCGTGGAAATAAGGGGAAACGGCTACGCGTTCCAAAGTGAAACTTGAACGCTCGATCTTTTTCTCAGCCTCTGCTAATTCGCCAGCTAAAGTATCTTCGTATAGAAAGCTGAGCGTCTTTTTAGGTAATAGTAGCTACATTACGTATGATAATGTCCGGCGAGTCGAAAGTTTGTTTTCAAGCGAAATATAGGTAATGTTCTCCTTCCATTGGCGGCAGTTGAACGGAGTTTCTTACCTTGGAATTCCAAGTATACTTGATGCTTATTCTTACCATTTTTCATAGTGCCGATAAAAAATAATTAGCGGTGCGTGTACGGAGAGGCGGCGCGAAAGCCTGATTAACCGATTCGTACCGTGCAAACGCTCGGTGCTCTAATTAACCGTTGTTTCATTATTTACCGCAAACAGCTGTGCGTGGCTTAGCTAATTGACATGTACTTGTTATCTAATTCTGTTACAATACGCGAAATATAAAGGACAACCCGTTTCGTTGGAGAGATATTTCTTTGGTGGAAAAACGAGCAAACAGACGAATAAATCGAATACGATTGTCGAATCGTCGAATAACGTGTAATCGAATACTTCATACTAATATGAAACAGTCAAATATGATCCGGCAAGTTGCGAGTGAAATACATTTAACGCTGCGCGAACGTTAATCCTCGAAAACACTTGTATTATAATTGAACTCGTTTTCAATCCACGTTCTCGTCCGCGGCGGTTTATGAAATTAGCGGGTCGAGTTAAATTGACCGATCGGCGAACGCGATTACTCTCCGAAAAGAAAGGAAACTCGACGGCGTAATTGTTAACGTGAATAATACGACGTATTGCGAGCGTAATTGCTAACGACGAGGTAACTGGCCATTATCAAGTTTATCAGGGTGACATTGCGTTCCCTTTACATTCGAGGCGTTCAAGCTGGCGCGAGAAAGTTGCTGCGCCTGTTTCATCGGAGAAGGAAAATGTTCCGTCATTTGCCGATCTTGTATCGTGATGTTAGGAGGAAGCGAGAAGCGAGCGCAAGAAATGGAAGGCGAGGTGTAAAGGGTAAGGACGGGGTAGGTGGTACTGTTCTTGGATAAAAGAACCGTCCGCTCTAACGACCCCCTCGAGTCGTCGCTGAAACGAGAGAGGGAGAGGGATGCTGTCGAAGCTGTTGGAAAGAGCTTGGAAAAAAGGTTGCGGTACGTGCCCAAGTGGTCAGGGCCTTGACGAACCGTGTCTTCTTCCGCGCCGAGCATGACAATACTCGAGCAACTTTTTATTCAACTTTCCTCGGTCGTTGTGTGAATCCTAACGTATAGACGTATACCCGATTCGGCATTTATCGATTCGTAGTACTAGGACGGAATTCGTAACGGCGCATGCTTCTGTCGAAGGAATTGGATTCGCGCGATGAAAATTAGCGTCGTATCAGTAATTAGCCAGGGAAAAGCAAAGTGTACGTGACAGAAACATCGCGTAGTACGTCAGTTTGTTGGCACGCGCGACAAAGGAGCTGCAGAGATTTATTCGTCGAAATTGAACGCTTCGCGTGCTCTGCCAGTTGTCCTCCAGTTGGAATAGCAATACGTCGGATGCAATACATCGAACGTCCGGATGACAAACGTCGTGTTGGCGTCGCACGCTCCTTTAACCAGAAGCTGGAATTAGGTAAACCAGGTGGTCTCCTCCTACGAGATCACACGTGGTAAACAAAGTCTCACCACCGTCTTGCTCGTGCTTATTTCGAAGGAAATACGACGATGGAGACACACGAGCTGACACAGTCGGACGGAGTCTGTATTTAAACGTGTGACGGACTCGATTGAAATTTCGCGAGAAGAAAGGCAAATAATAGCAGCTCGGGGTCAGGTTTCACAAAGCGCGACGCGGACGATTTTCAAATGAAAAGCAAAAGAAAACACGTAGTAGAGGAACGGACAGGGGCACTGACAAGGACAAAATGCATCTGCCGACGTAATCTGTCGACGAGGAGCCGAGAAATTAATGCAGCGATATTAATTTTGACGCCGCGAATGCAAATTACGTAAAATCCAATCGGTAGATGTCGCGCCTATTTCCCTTCCACGGAAGAATCATTCTTTTTCGGAGGAAAAAGGAATCTTCGTAGGACTTCTCACCCTTAGTTTTATCTCTTCGATTATCCGTTTAAATCGGATTGCAGTTTAATCTATCGTGCAGGAAGCGAATGTGCTCTCTGCTTTTTTTCACCGTCTCTTTTCACAGTTTCCGTATCGGGGAGAGAGCCTTTACATCTCGGGGGTGATCGCGCTTGGAATTATGTACGGCGATGGTGAAAAGGGGGAGAGAAGTAGCTGTAGCTATCTTTTCACCTAGCTGTTCACCTCGAGCCAACCTTTGCCGCATTCCGCTCAAGGTGCTGGATCGCTACCATTTATCTTGCCTCGCGTTTCCAGCCTTTCACCTTTGTTCTCTCGTTCGAAAAATCTCGTTTCAAGGTTTTTACGTCGGGAAGAGTCGGAAACGTTGAAAGTGAAAAATTGTTACGCTTATTTCGCAACTATAGTATGCCCTGACTGAAACATGGACAAACTACTCGCGACCCATATAACTCACGTTGTCTTGGAGGGTAGACGAGAGTGGTCATCTTGGAAAACGAAACAAGCAAGTAGTTGTGGAAACGTTAAAAGTACCTTTTTCGGAATAAAGTTTCCCCTTGCAGTTTACGTTCCTTCTACGATCAAAGAGCCACTTGGAAAACGTTATGGATTTTCGGCATTGTGGAAAATCGATCGGTGTGCAACGCGCGTGACCGACTTTTCAGTCTACGAAATAGAAGAAAAAAAATGATGTGGGAATCCCCGGTGAAACGAGTGCACTCGCGAGCATTCTCGTAGCAGATCGATTAAACAAGCGAATCGGTTCGCGGTTTTCCACCGTATTTACTCGAGCGACGTCGATTCGATATTTGTGGACAGACCTAGTCGTAAATTTTCGTCCGAGCATCGCGGCAGGATTGTTCTAACGGAGAAATGGTTGTTTCTTTTACAGGCATGCGACTGCCTGGGCATCAGCAAGGAATGCGACTACTTCGGGCTAAAGTATCAGAACGCGAAGGGCGAGGAGCTCTGGCTGAACCTGAGGAATCCCATGGAGAGGCAAACGGGCGGCGGTGTAGCACCTCTAAGGTTCGCTTTGAGGGTGAAGTTTTGGGTACCGCCTCACCTGTTGCTGCAGGAAGCCACCAGGTAAAAAGAAGCTCGTTTCTCCTTCCTTGCAAACCACGTTGTTCCAACCTACAATTCCGCGAAAGGTAATTCTGGTGAAATTGGCGAATAGGCGTGACATATTTTGATATTTCCGCGGAAAGAATCTCGGTTGCGAGCTGCGGACCGTCGACCGGCGACCGGCGACCGGCGGGATCGATAGAAATTGCACGCCGTATTCGATTGGGAGTTACTGATCGTTGAATATATGTGTCTGAAGGACGCTCGTCCGAAGTAGGGTAAACAGCGTGCCGTAATAAGGCCAGAGGGTAGCGAGAAGCGCGGGTGAATTACACGGCGTCGTAAAGTTGGACGCAACGCAACGGAAATGCTGCTTCGGAAATTCAGGACGATCAAATTCAGACGAATTACTTCTCCTACAAATTATCGACGACGAGCTGTTTAGGTGAAGATAAACGCGCGAATTAATTGGTCGCCGCGGCGCGTGGCAACAAATGCCTGCCCGCTGGTCCGCGATAATTGGGCCAGCTGGCGCGAAAACTATTCCCGTGTTCCTAGATTTGCACCGTCGAGCCCAGTCCCGTGAAAATGACCGTCTGGCAAAAATTCCAATACTAACGAGAGAATTTCATTAAGGTGTGAGGTCGGACGACCCGACGTTTCAACTAGTGTTAAGTCTAGATATAAGCCCCACGTGTAATCGATAGCTTAAGGCCCCCTTACACCACAACACCGCTGTCTCGCGTAATATTCGATCGCAACTTATCTCCAAAGACCAAAGACTTATCACTCAGACCAGGTAAGAAAAGCCTCGGAACAAGGCACGTCGTCCATTCTCGGTCGGTGCGCTTCCCGCTCCTCCCCGATTACGTTGCGTTGCAAGTTTTAAGTTAGAGACATCACCGGTCAACTACAAGTTACTATCGTAGAGACCACGGATCCCGGTCTCTAGAAAGATTGCCGGTCGTCAAAGGCCCTGTAAAATAATAGCCCGAGTCGCTATTATTTTCTCTTATCGGAACTGGGGACGTGACAAAGGTAAAATTGATCTCGTACAACGCTTACTTTACGATATTCCTTTCGCTAATAAAGTAATCGGCTACCCCGAATGTCGTCGAAGCGAGGCAAATGACCGAATATTCCGGACGTGTGAAACAAAGGGCGGAGAGCGAGGGTTGAGATTCGGCGGACGTTTGCCTCGCTGGTATAAATCAAAGGTTGTTACGTACAATAGCATTGTCGCGAAATCCGCCCAATTTTCGCTGTTCCACCGTCGATGCGAAACAATAGCTTTGTCTAGACCTCGTTCCGTAATCGAGTTGCGAATTTAGAGTAGGTGCTAGGTATATCGGTGATAAAATAGGAGAGACGCGAGAAAATTTGACAGGTTCTCTCCAAGTTGTTAATACGGCGCTGAATCGTGGTGTCGGAGAGGGGAAAAGAAGCGCGGCCGAAACCTCTCGCCTGAATTTCGAGGAGCGTCTCGAGCTTAACCTTAAGGGGATGCAAGTTTGAAATCCAAAGGATAAACTGGCAATTTTCAGGGTCAGGCGTTGGAATGGACGCCCACTCGAGCACTACTCGGTCGGGTAACTTTGAGAAAGCTCGATTCCGCGTCCCACGAGCAACATCCAAGTACGTAATTGATCGCGATTCAAATGTCGTTGAACTGTAACCAGGCTTCGTCGCTAACGCGTCGAGACGAGACGTAAGACCGAAAGCGTTTTTTATTCACGATCCAGGAATAACGCCGGGGTTACCGTTGCTCTAATTGATCGTTAGCGGCGCGAATAGCCGCGATAAATTTGTCGTTTTGCTTACTTTGCGAGAGAGAACGAACGGGACCGGAAGTAATTTCCGTGCAGCTGGGAAAATACTGGAAGGGTAGAAGTGACGAAGGAATTCTAATCTGATAGGAAGTAGAATCGGAGTAGAGAACGGTCGTAAAACCACGAGAGTTTTATAGGGCGCGTTTCACTGTTAAACTACCGGTTCCCTAGCGAACTTTGCTCGGAGCTCTCTAAATATTTTTAAATACCTAGAAGCTGTTTGCTATTCTCGAGGGCCAGTGTTCGGAGGTTAAGCGGTCTCTGGGTTTACCCGTGTCTCGTCGTAGAAACTTTTTGCCCGTTCAGTTTTAACGAACGACGTCTTGAACGTTCTTCCCTTTTATCGCGGTACTATTTCACCTGGAATTGTAAACTGGTAAGAAAATAGAAGAAAGAGTTGCGTGATTTATTGCGCGGAAAATACGACTGTGGGTCGTCTGTAACGGTATTGCTTGTCGTCGCTTCCTCTTCCTCGATGTACGTACACGTACTCGTTGATAGCAGAGATACGACAATGACGGAGGCTAATTAGGAGGGATTGCGTCGATGCAACGCATTCGAGGAGCCCGAGAAAAAAGGAGAGACGATCGTTTTGGATAATTGGGGGCAATAAAGAGGTGAAAAGGACGAAAGGGGAGCCGTGATAATGGGAAAGTTGGAGGAATTCCGTTGTGCGAGTTCTGCGGCTGGAGAAGAAAATGAGCCGGTAACTGCGATATCGCTCGGAAACGGAGATACAGCCAGAGCTTCCGAACTAAATTTCGCCAAGTAAATCGAGTTCCACGGTTAGACGTTACAGCCGCGCCGAGATTAAATTCAAATAATAATATTAGCTGGCACGCTTCTCGCATAATTTCTGAAATACCGATCGGTTGCAACTCTTGGTGCATTTCAAACTTATTATTACGAAAGAGATTGTTTATAAAACGGCGGTTCCAACGGCTATTATACCAGCCTTTATTACTACCAAGAAAACTTGGTCGAGTCGAGTTTTCCGAATTTCCACCAGCTCGTCGACGGCTCGTAGAAAATCCATTTACCGCGATAAACGGTGAAATGATCGGTTAACGACCTACTGAATATTTATGCGTTTCCAAATCGGAACGTGCCGTTGACACGCCTCGTATTATCGGTATGGGTGTATAAATGTTGATTTGTACAATACTTGGGGACGGTTGTACTTGCAACGCGAATGGCCGCATTGAAATTATCACGGTCGAACGAAACGCGCGAAGACGCAAAACCGTTATCGAAGCAACTTTATATTAGCGGGAAGTTTTCGGGTGGTGTCGGTAGGAATTGAAGCTGAAGTAAGAGTGAAGGAAAATACGATGCCACGAATCGTCGATCGAAGACAAATACGGGGGATCGTGTTGGAATCGGAGGCGGGGAAAAGGAAGAGACCGGGAGGAAGTTGCGATGACAAAAGTCACTTGATTCCTGTTTAGTTGGACTTCTATTTATAATTCTTCTTCTTGCAGGCATCAGTTCTACTTGCACTCTCGTTTGGAACTACTCGAGGGCAGATTAAAAGTGTCAGACTGGGGTTCTGTGGCTCGGTTGGTAGCGTTGATAGCGCAAGCCGACGGCGGTGATTACGACGCGTTATCGCCACCGCATGCACTTTACTCGCAATGTTGTGAAATTCAACCGGCGGAACCGTGCGGACCGAAGCCTCAGGATTTCCTCTACAGGATCGTTCAACAGCACAAGGAAATCAAGGTTCGAGCCTATTTCCCTCCACCGAGGACTGTGTTGCTCTTTTCTAACCAATTCTATCGTTTGTATTCCGTTTTCAGGGCATGAAAACGTCCACCGCCGAGTATTGGCTGTTAAAAGAGATATCGAATTTGGATACGTTCGGCCAGGAGATGTTTCACAGTAAATTCGGCTACAACGGAGTGTCGATGATCGGTGTCGGGCCTCACGGTATCACGGTCTATCGTAATCACGACGAAGAAACGCAAAAGTAGGTAGAAGGGCGAAACTTTAGCCGATGACGCAACGTGTAATGCCGCGTTGTCTCTTTACTTTACAGCATACCGTATACGGCGATACAAAGCGCAACGTCTCAGCGTCGAATGTTTCATTTGGTTTACCTTTCTCTCGACGGTGAGGAGACTTCGTTGAACTTTAAATTAGATTCGAGTCAATCGGCCAGTGGACTTTACCGGGCGATCACCGAGAAGCACGCGTTTTACAGTTGCGAGACAGTGAGAAGCGCGGTGACTGCTCAATTTATACGCGACTTGAAGGTAACTGGGAGGGAGGAGAGGAGGTTGCATTTTGTAATTATTAAACGGGTTCGTTTTCCACAGGGCACTATAATCTCGATATTCAACGAAGACTCGACGTTGGGAAAGAAATACGTGTTCGACATCCGCAGGACGTGCCGAGAGGTGTACGATAACGCGAGACGCGCTCTTTACTGCGAGGCCGCGACCGTCAGGTTACCGGAGGAGAAGGACGTTTTGGGGAAGCACGACTGCGGGGAGTGCGAGGATCCCAAGTGCAAGGTATTTCGAGACACGACGAAGAGGGGAGAACAACTGTTTGATGAGACTGTTTCAACTTGCAGGAATCTCGGGAATGTCTGGCAAGATTATTGGACGCGATGCTGTGCCGCATTTGCATGGATCGTAGTTTAGACACCGCCCTGTTCCCCTGCGGGCACGCGGTCGCCTGTTTAGATTGCGCTAGGCGTTGCGAGCGTTGTCCTCTGTGCCGTGCGGACATCGACCATTGTCGAACGATATATCTCCCGATCGAGCTAACGCACGTCGATAAGCACAATCCGAAATTGCTCTCGGAATCCATCGAGCCTGTCTACGGGAGCGCGTCCACCGAGGAGATTCAGAAGAGGGCTTTGGTAACCGAGAGCTCCCTGGTGATAAACGGTAACGATATTTGAGAACGCCGCCACGCCGCCACGCCATTCGACGCGTTTCAGAGATTCTTCTCGAGAATCTTCGCTTGCCAGAGCGAGAGAACGCTCTGAATTCACTTCACCTCTCCTCCTCCCCTCCCTTCTCCAGTAGTATTAAGTATCATTGTCTCTCTTGAACCTTCTTCAGACTTTACGAAAGGGTCGACGACGACCTCTTTCCTCCCTCTTTTTCTTTTTTTCTTTCGCATCGTCAAAAACATTCGCGCGATTCGTCGATACTGTGATGGAAAAAAAAAAAACAAAAAAAAAACGAAATTACTATCGTTTAAATACTTATCCAACTATTTATAACGATCTTACGATGTTAATAACGATGTTATCTCGATACTCCTTAATTAAATATTGAGTCTTAATTGTGCGACCGACAAGTGCTATTAGCAGCATTGATCTCCGAAGAAAACAAACAAACAGTGCTGCCGTTATTTTCACGAAAGAGTAGTATAATTTATATTAATGCAAAATTCAACGCGTCCTATGTAGATTTTGATTTTTATCCACTGTCCAACCAATAAGTTTCTCTCTCTCTCTCTCTCTCTTTCACATATACTTTTGTTCCTCTTAGATAGATTGCATACTTTTCTTTCCTCTTCTCTCGTACGTATCAACTTTCATTTAGATATGGCATCGGGCCACCGGGGTCGAGAGTTTTATTAAAACCAGCGACCCTTCGTATTTTTAATATAGTGTACGTTATTCATTACGCATACGCGGTATCGTTTAAAAAACGACCGCTGTGATGCTGCTCCCTTCTTGTCGCGGATGTTTCATTCGAATACGAATTAGGATACGAATTAGCGCCGTGTGCAAAGTTTCGACAAAGCACTGTCGAGATGTTTGTAGGATTGCAATCGTGGGAATCGGTAACGCGTTACGTGATATTTCCTTTTGGAACGTCCTGTACGAGAAGGAAATCTTGTTATGGTAATATCTGTTTATATGTACATAAGAAACGAGATAACCCGCGATAGGGTGCAGCGAGTAAAAGTCACGAGTTCACCAAATGCCAAATCTGATTTAACAAACTCAGTGCGAATGCCATCTTTCAAGTAACAGAGTCATAATAAAAGGAATACGTATGTTAATTGATGTGTTTTACACGCGAAACGTTTGTTTGCGCACGCACCACGGTGACGGTTGCCGGCGGGGTATAAAAGACGGACGGAGAGTACGCGGCGATTCATTCGCCGTCGCCAGTTCGCAAGTTATTACTATTCCCGTCACCTTTGCAACGTCTCGCACCGATTTTCTGCTGCAGAACGTGGATAATCGCTCGGCGAGCTCAGCTCGCTTGTATTTTTCGCAACTCCGTGGATCGCTTGAATTTCTGTGAGAGTAGGATCTTCTTTCTTATTTTCTCTCTTCGATTTACCTTTCTCGTTGATTAGAAATAAGTGAACTAAATTCTCCCACCATGAGAAAAGAAGCTTCCAACTCCGTCCTAATGTTTTACATAATATTGTTGTATTTACTCTAAAGTTTTTCAGATCACTTTCACTAAGTGCATTAATTATATTAACACCATTTTTATGGTATCGCCCTCTCCTTGGATCATTCCTCTCCTTCCCTTGAAAGGTTCTGGAATAATTTTTGTTAATTTGTCAATTTCACGAATGTCGGAAAATTTCCATTCAGTTGTTGGGTTTAAATCCAAGTTGTCGGGTGTGATGTCTTTAGTAATCCCATCCTTAAAAACGCTAAACCGGTATTGATCAAGATGGATCTATCTACTTCTGTAGCCGTAGGTGAGAGGATTTTATGGGTTGGGTTCGTAAAGAAAATTTGTCCATTATGCTTAACGGGCAACTCGTTGTTGTAACATTTCTGATCGTTTAACTTAGTTATATTCGGCTGAGATTTAATAATATATGTATAGATCACCTCTCCTCGAATAAGCGCTGAATAACTTGGATTTCCTTTGTAATTTCGGTTACATTCCTTTTAACATTAACACAACCACCTGTGTCTTTTGTAGAAATTGTTTGAATTAACGGGTTATCGTTCTGAGTTTGAAAAGCTACATCGATGAAAGACGTAAGCTGAAGGATAAGAAACATTTGAACTATTCCCCTCTCACTGACTATTCTCTCTCCACGCAAGCATGCGCGCGCGCGCGCGCAAGAAAAGGCTGTTTCCGAATCAAAAGAAAGAATAGAATGCAAACGTTTTACCGATGCGAGCGAACATTTACGTATTATTTATATTATCCTTACGCGGGATATATCATTCTCCTTTCTGGTCCCCTCGATCGACGACACTTTTATCGCTACCATCGACCGAGCTCGTTCGTCGAACGCGTCTGTAGGTAGCATTTTATGAATCTTGCGGGTGTATGTTGAAACAGAGGATGCTAGGGAGAATGAAAGACAAAGAAATCGTTATAGTCATTCATCAATGCAAACCAGATCTAGTTTATAATTATTTATAAGGAAAGAAAATAATAGCGTTTATATAATAAACACCAAGTACTACGTTTAGTGACAATTAAATCGACAACATTCTCGTTAAATCAACGTAGCGTAATCCCTCTTTTCCTGACAGCTTTAGCGCTTATACATACATATACGTATATACACCGAAACTGTTTCCTTTAGTTCCCTTTAGTACTTTTGTATCCTACTGTTGAGAAAATTGTGATTACGCTGCTCCTTCAAGTCAAATATCCATTCGAGTGATTCTTTAGAGACGCAAACGTGTAACAAGTGTACGTACAACGATAGTTCAACCACAAAGAAAATGGAAATATTTTCTCGAAAATTTTCTAACTACGTCTCGTCGCTCACGTGTACATGCTCGTTCGTCGTTGATGGGCTTTTACGCGTTAGGAGTGTGCTATCGAAAACTGTTTTATAATTTACAACAGTCTGCGGACATTAGGAAAGAAAGGAAACGAAAATTTCTACCACTGTTTATTCGATGTATGTAAGTTTAATAATAACGACAACAATAACACCGTTACGATAAGGAAAACAACAAATTTTTGTGATTAACTCTCTGCATAAATGAGTACACGGGAAAAATTCGAAATCACTGTAGTTGGTAGATCTGTATGGTAGAAATGAAAGATATCGGAGAGAATGGATTTCAAAGAATTATCATTTGCAAAGAGTATTTTTAAAGTATTTCCAATTATTTTTTAGTATTATATCAGGATTCCACTTGAACGGTGGTTTATACATATGAGACCGACACAATCTATGAAAAATAATTTTTAGCATTATAAAGGTACAGTGTCCCAACCTGTTGATTAAATACTATGAAATATTAATCGTTGTACACCTTTTATTCCCATTTATTCCTTATCTATACCTCGCAGTTTCGATAAAAAGAGCGTTCTATACTTGATAATTCAAGTGTAGAGAAATCTCACCTTGGTGTATACATAATTGGTCGGTATGTCGATAACATTTTTCACAAACGCTACAATTTTTCATCATTTCTCGCGGGTCAAATTTAATGGAAACGAGAAGTGAACGCACGTTATTTTTTACTTCCTTATTTTTCATTTTAACGAATATCACGTATACGTGAATGAATCGATAATGGGTTTAATGATACACACGCGAGTTGTGGCCAATAAAGATTCATTTCGAAACTAAACTTTTTGTAATCGAAAGTAAACGTTCGTAACAGAAGGAAAAGCATAAGCATTGTTGAAGAGGGAAACGAGTAGGCTAGTTGATAGATAATTAGATCAACTGTACTAGTTAATGTATAATTTAGAATAATTTCTAGAATTATTCGATATCTCGTGGATATTAGGAGACTGATTCGGAAGTGAGAATTTTCAGAAGAACAACGAAAATCTTGACGTACGATGTTTGTAGAAAAATAGAACGGGGTGGTGAGATAGTGATTGAAATTTCATGGCAGTAGTTGCAGAGTAAAAAATTTCAAATATAGCGCCGAATTATTCTTAGTGGCAGTTCAGTTGGAAGTTGTTAGATTTGCGCATGCGTTGTACGGTTTGATTGGTTGATGCAGCGGCATTGTCATATGACGAAGCTGCGTGGCATCATGGGAAGCAGATCGCAATTTTGCAACATGGCGGTGAATTGAGCCAAAGTCGCGGTGCTGTGCCATCAGAAAATGTATTTTTCATAGTCGCGCAACCTCTTTTATTATACTTTTCATGTATGCGACAGTGTAATACGGATTCGGGACGTGTTAGACGATACACGGTGCATGTAAATATGAGTGTAACGAAGCACAACGTTATTTCGAAGGTGACACCCCGCAACTCGGTGTGGTGCTCGAGCACGTATGGCAGAGACTAGAATCTGAGATAAGGAAGCTCTGCTTCGCCTAAGTAATACGTATCGCCAATCAAAATTACCACCACAAAGTAGCGATGCGGTGGTTACCTCTGTCGAACTGTGAAAACGTGAGTGTTTTATGTAAAACGTAATGTGTGCATACGAAAGTGCCGTGGCTGCGTATTTCGGTAGCGAGGAAAGTGTACGGCTGCCTTGTATGCGATATCCAATATCCCTTTTCTACCTTTCTTCCGTTCGTTTACCCCATGAAAATTCCTTCGATCGTGCCGTAAATGGCTTCGATCTTAAATCCTTCCGACAAACTTCACTCGAATCGTGAAAACTTTAATGTACAAATCGGTTCTATCGAATGTGCCACCATTGCGTTAAATATTTTTCACCAGCTCGCAATTCCTCCGTTTTCCTAAAGAAAAGTCTCAAGTGTACGATCAAATTAACGTCGTTTCTTCGTTCTCATTGGTAACTGTGTTCTCGTTATTGAAAAATGCATAATCCGATCGATTTGTTCAAAAGTGCTTACCTTTGTGCTTTGCTCGTGTTTCTTCCTTACCTGTGCTTAAATCATCGTCTACGTTGAATCGTTGTGTGAACTGAAATTAAACGTGAACGTCTATCAGTCGTTTTTCTACTATTACCGATATCCGAAAAAGTGTTTTATGGTCGGTGTCGGTAAACGTCGATGTAGCAACGCTCCAAAAATACCACATGTTACGGTATTCTAAAAGCATCGCACGTTGCAATGCTTCACTAACGATAAGTGTGTATGACGGTTAACAATACGTTGTGTTTATTATTCCGAATCGGTATTTTATACGAATTAACGACACTTTGACAATCTAGTCCGCGATTCGGTAACAAGTTGAAAATCTATGGAACATTTTGTCGAATTCTTCAATTATCTACATTTTCCATCTAGTTACTTTTCGCTTAGACGCAATATTCTCTATCTCTGTTGTATTTGTATTGAAACAAAGTACAGGAAGATTACATCCATGCCAATTGATTTTATTTAAATTAAATAGAATTAGGGAGGAGACTTGAGAGCCTTTAAAGCACAAAATTAGTCGTATAACCTATCAAGTTATCAATGAATGTTACGCAAGTAAATAAGTTTGTTTTGATGTATTAAATAATTGAACGTTTTCTCAACGTTCAACGAAGGATGCGGTCAGAGCTACACCAGAATAAACTGATTTGCATACAATAAAGTTTCCTAAATGCTTCAAAACAATGTCCCTTCTGTCCTTATATATTTTTCATCTCGTATAATATTCAGATGTAACACATCCATTGTACAAGCCGCTATTGTTACATCCTCCTTTAAAATGTACAATAATAATGATCATAACAATAATAACAACAACTAACAGAGCATAAGAATTTTCTACTAATTCAAGTGTTTTTGTGCTTTCAGATATTTGCAAAATTCAAAAACTTTGTCAAACATAATCACTTGTGATTGTATATGCGTGCCAAACAAAGATATATAAAAGGGCATTGAAAAGACCCAATGGTTTCCTGACATGATGGAAAGTAAACTGTACGTGAAAAATGAGCCGGGACTTGATGGGCAATCGCTTGCAAATCCACAAGCAAACCCACCTTCCGAGGATACCGGAGGAGCCAGGGTTTGTTTTGTTTGTGGTACTGTAGGCCATGGTGAACAATATTGGCTGAAAGTAAAACCAAGTCCAGGCGGTGCGCCAAATGAACCTTACTTTCCATTTCTCGAATCCCATGAACCACCTGCTGGCTACCGTGGCGAAGGAGCTAGAAGTGGAGCAGTGAAGGCGTGCAGTCTCTGCTACGCCTTGCTGTTACAACAATGGGAGAGTTACGAACAGGATGCCAGACCTCATAGTCAACGAATTTATTGGCTGAAAAGATGCGACGGCGGTCCGTTTACGGGAGCCGAGATGGCCCTTCAGGGAGAATACGCGGCTCAAGTTTTGGGCTTAACTAACGACCAAACCTCGCAGCTCAGACCGGAAAATCGACCGGTAGGAATTTCTCCGCGACTTCCGCCAACAAATTCGCCATCGCCTAGAGTGGAACAAACAAGACCACCGTCGAATTCCATTGAACTGCCAAGACCACATTCTAACACGGCAGAAACGCACAGACATTTAGAACAAGCAAGGGTTACAATGGAATCTCCCCATCAAAGACTGCAATCGCCGCACCAGAGGTTACAAAGTCCTCGACAACCTGTAGAAGATTCAAGAATATCCAACGAAGCGGCATTGGATTTAAGACACGCACCCAGGAGTTCACCTGCACCACAACCAACTTTACCACCACAACCTCAACGTAAGTCCAAGTTTATCGAATAACATTACGTTGTTTATACTTTCTGCCGCACCGATCAACTTTTCTTCTCTCGATCGATTTTGTCAACGACAATTTTCACCTTTCACGATTTCTACGTTATAAGTGAAATATAAACATTTGTACGAATAACTATTAAAGATGTTCATAATGGATATTCTGATTTCAAGCTTGTATGTGCGTGTAACTTGTTCGACCTCTCGAGATATCTAATTCGGCAGATCCGATCGTTTGGCTTGTTTCATTGATAAATAGGTCGGTTGAAAGTCGACCTATCGAAACAGCAGAAACTACGTACGACGAAAGTACAACATTGTCGTTCCGTATTTAAAGCGGAGCGATAATGTCGTAGAAATTGCGAGGTCAAAGTAGGCCACGTGCAATACAATAGCAATCTGTTCGAGGCGCGTGTTTAACCAACTGCTTACAACCATTCTTGACGCTTACGCGTATATAATTATCAATGAATTATTTAATGATCGTTTGATCGAACGGTTACAGCCATTTATAGCGGTGGGTCGTCGTCGAGTGCCGGCACTGATATCTTAGATCTTTCGATGCCAGATAAAAATTCAGTTACGGAAGTCTGTTACGTATGCGGGGATGAATTCAAAAGAGGGTCACTTAGTCATATTGCAGCAAAACCACTGCCAACTCCGCCACATCCTTCTGCCAGTCCTCCGCCATTTTTTCCTTCGCTAATGCTTCATCCAAGACCAAGCAGAAGCCGACCGATGGACAGTGCTGGTCGTGTACAGGTGTGTGTTTGTGTATATATATATATATATGTATCTTTTTCCGCATTGTTTTTACGATGAAAAATTTATACAACTTGAACGGTGCTGTACTAAAGGAATGTCATCTCCTTTTGATCACAGGCCTGCTCAGCGTGTCAAAATCATCTTCTGTTGCAATGGAAGGCATATACGCTACAAGGAGTGCCGCACGGCGATCGGAATTACACGCTCCGTAAACGACAAGCACCTGCAATGGATACAACTACCTTTATCTGTTATACTTGCGCTCTTGAGTACCCTTCGTCCAGTATTAGACTTCTTTACTGCTGTCCTAATCCCGAGAAGGAGGCGTACTATCCTTTTATATATTCCCTGAGACCTCCGCCAGGAGCTAGTCCCATTAGTCCTCAGGGAATGGTGCAAGTTTGCTCCATTTGTTACAAAGCTATACCGCAGAAGCAGCAAGTATTCGGTGGAGAAAATCACGAGGCTCAATCGTCGTCGGGGCAGAGCGTGGATTTTCGACAACAGGGCCCTTCCCCGCGGCCCGCTGTAGCCAAGTCTCCGGCTAATTCCGCCGGTAGCGATATTCGTTTCAAACCGTACGATTTAAACAAATCGAGCGTTGCCACGAACAAGCTACGCTGCGCGGTAAAAGCATCGAATCCTGGGCAGCGAAACTCCCCGAACAACGGTCCTGCTGAGAACGGAACTGTTGCTCTCGGCCAAAACTATAGGTGCTATATTTGTGAGAGACTGTATCCTCGCTCTCACATGGAATGGTACGGTGATTCTGGATCGAGCGTTATTTTCTTTTCGTGTAATTGCTAATTGTTCGCTAATCGTTTTGGTGTGTTTGTTTTTGTCACCGGAAGGTTGTCTACGAGTCCAGAAGGAATGAATTCGCACGCTATGCATTTTCCGTGTTTAAGGGGAATGGCACGTACTTCGGAAAATGCCTGTATGGATAGTCACGGCAGAGTGTTAGCTTGTAGTCACTGTGTGAATCATCTTGCCCAACAGTGGGAAAACATGGATGCTGAACGAGTTCCTTTAGAACGTCGCAGGTTAGTTGCCGAATTATTTAGTTCATGTTCATGGTTATTGGGAAAAGTATTTCGGTGGTTGACGCTACTTTGTAACATTCCTCAGGTATGATATTCCTAGTCCACATCCAAACGGCGATGTGAACCGATCGATCGCCACCCCACCGAGTTCTAGTTCAGACCGAACGTTTGGTAGTAATCCAGGCACATCGAGTAGTTCCATATATTGTTTCCTATGTGGCTTGCATAGCGATTTAACTCTGGCAAGAGTGTTGTACGGTCGTCCTCAGGGTCGTAACGCACCGTTTTTTCCGGAATTATTACGCCATCAGTCTCCACCGAACGCCGAGCAGCTTAGGGAGGATGGTTCTGCGCTAGTATGCACTTTCTGCTATCATTCTCTTTTGGCGCAGTGGCGTAGATACGAATCTCTTCCTAGTGGTCAACAAGTGAACGCCGCGGAAAGGCAGTACAACACGCACGACTACTGCTGTTACGTTTGCGGTATTACCACGTACAGAAAACGAGTGAGAGCGTTACTCGTGAAAGATTTTCCCTTCTTAAGGTATCACAGACAACCGGAGAAAAGTTTGTTGTTGGAAAACGGGGACTTTGCGGTGGTCTGTTTAGATTGTTACGAAACATTGCGCACTCAAAGTCTCGAATACGAACGATGGGGTTTACCCGTTGAAAAACGCGAATACAATTGGATAGTGCAACCTCCACCACCAGAAGACAGCCCGGATGCGACTGTCGCGAGATTGCCATCCGGTGAAAGGTCCGAGAAGGTGGTGAGTCGTTTTCGAACAATTATAAATCATCAACGCGGAGATGAACAAATAATTAACCAACATGGAACATTTATGTTGATCGCGCAGGTCCCGTCGACGTTAACGGTGAAACCTGCACGGAAAAACTGTTCCCCCAAGGCCCCAGATAAAAAAGTTCCCGCTAAGGTTCCAGAAAAAGAACAAGGTATGTGGCACATTTTTCTCCGATCCGCGATTTTTACTTGAAATCTTCGTTTAAAGGGAAATACGCGATTATTCCTTATTTACTATCGCGCTCCGTGCATTTTCTCATCTTGCGATCTTGCGTACTTTTTACGTCTACATGTTTACGTGTGTAGAACGATTAAGCGTGCAAGTGTTCCAGATAACGAAAAATGTTCCGTGGTCAAACATATTTGCCAGACGCGCTAAGGTTATCCTTTTACGTTCGAACGTTATCTCGCGCGTAAACATTCACCTCTTCGGAGATATATAAGTTGAATGCTTTACGTCGCGTTGCGTCTTCTTCTTTTTCCCCTATATCAACAGTTCAACTTGAAATTTTAATCCTGCGATACTAATTGACCAAATTAATTCACCACCGTGGCTAAAGTTAACGCAACGCGCATATTTTTCACCTCTGCCTCGTACAGACAGTAGCGGGCACATACATACATACGTACTTGAACAAAGACACGACATACTGGGGACGCGGGGGCGATCGGTACAGCAGAAAGGATAGAGGCAAGGGATGAGTGGACGAGACGTGAGTAGAGCTCTTAAAAATCCAACAGACAAAAGGATACCGACGGTGTTGCGAAGCTTCCAAGAGGAATTCACACCTTCCTTCCCCCCCCCCCTTTTTTTTTGTTTCGAGAAAATATCTTTATCGGTACGCGATTGCCCGAGGTTACGATCAATCCAAAATTCTTTTCAACTTTTCACATTCGTACTCTCTCAAAATTTTCACTCGAGAACCTTGTTTAACGTTGAATTATCAAAAATCGTCGCAAGTATTTCTTAATTTCGTAAAAAAAAAAAAGAAGAGGGTAGCACGTAGGTATATTTCCCGAGGAAAGAAAATCCTGCCCCGGCAAGCTGCTTTCCAGCTTCGCTGCTCTTAGCTCGTAGCACTTCTTCTAATTTCGTTCTTTTTTACCGTACCAAAAGGTAGGTTTCTCGGAGTGTATACGTCAGCGTAAAGTTACGACTTCCAACAGAAACGAAACAGATAGGAAAATATCTAGATAATTAGACAAGCAATCGCGATAAAGCCATATTGAAACTCTGTCGTTTGATACGTGAAACTCACTCGAGTTTCGAGATATCGGGAAGATTTGTTTGGAGACGCACCGCGCATGTTTCCTTGGTGCCGCGCAAATACATAAAATCTAGGACTTGCGTTTACGCGTTGAAACGGGCGGAGGTAAAAGTAAAGGTAATCGTAAGGTAGGGAGTACGCATCGGGGAGGAAATAGCGTTTACACGGAACACGATCGGCGAGATCAGGAGGTCGATTAAGGTCGGTGGACGTGGCTTAGAGCAAGTAGGTGGTTGGAAGCGTTGGAGGGACTTAACGCGCGAGGGTTTGGTAGCTGTGCTCGTTCACAGTGAAAGAGGGTAAGTGGAGAAGAGCGAGACCAGGAAGGAGGGTGCAATGGAGAAATAGAAGGAGGAGGAGGGGCTGGAGGAGAAAGAGCAAACGCCCGCAGCGTGACACCGCATTGCGCCCACTTGCCAACCCGCCCAACACCTAAATTCGAATTAGGGAACCGGCCCTGTCGTTTCTCGTCAACACGACTCTCCTGTCCCCTGATAAACGTACAGACAGGATGTCATCGTCTCCTCCTCCTCCTCCTCCTCCTTATACCTATATATATATATACATATATACACGTGCATAAAGGAAGAAGGCAGAGAGAGAAAGGGGGATCGGTGTGTATGTATACGTATATACACACAGAGGTAATTTCTATCCTTTGCGACCCTCCTTTACTCTACCCCTGCCCCCATGTCTCCCCCTGCCCCTCGCTCTCTCGCTCACCGGCAGAGCAATCAGAGGGAGAGAGGCGAAGAGCTCGTTTTCCTCTTCCTTTGGGGATCGATATCAACGTTATCGACTGCTTTTCTCGCTCCTTGTCGCTCGGAGTACTACATCGAGATTGCTCATGTATTCTCGGCAGGCGTACAGCCAAAAGGCTCGATTTCGGCGGACATTTTCTACCGTGAGATCGGTGCCAGGTCTCAACCGAGCTCTCCCTCTTTTCCAAACGGCTGATCGTCTCGCGAAGTTTGTCGCTTTAATCGGACAACCGCGAGACGATTATTTCCATTTTGATTAATACCAGGCCGCTGTACACGTAGCCCGCGTTATTCTGCATGCGCCCTCTTAACGCGGTGCGCGCGGTCCCTCTGTTGGATCGCGTTAATAATTAACCACCGACTGGCGTGGAAAGTAGCTTTTGCCAGCACTCGCAGCTACCTCTACGGTTCGCTTCATTTCGAGTAACATTCTGGTTACGCTCTCTCTTCTGCTTACCGATGCAGCTAACGTAAAATTCCCTGTCTTTCCCGCGACGCTTTTTTCACGAATTACTTCGACGGGGAGAGGAAAATTTCAGGAATTTTCTCCGATACCGATACCGCGGACGAAAAATCTTGGTTCATCGGAATCGCGATGCTATCTGTTCTGGTTCGCGTAGTACAAAAAGCTGACGCGAACCAGAATAGATATCATCTGATATAAACGTCTGTTTGTAGCTCGCGGAAATCAAACGGTACTGTGTAGAGAAATATTCGTGGAAATTGACTCGGTGGAATAAAAAAATAATCAAACTGTCGGCGTGTTTGTGATCGACGACACGAAACCAGATACGAATGGTACGTGAGCGCGAAAGTGTTGAGGAAACGGTAAAACGCGCGCGAGGTTCGTCATCGGAAAGGTGAATCATCGTGGGCGTCGCACGTGCAGCGGTGGCGTCGCTCGCTCGACCGTGATAAAAATAATACGACTTATTAGCTGCGGGAGGTTGGCAGTGTCATCGAAGGGATACGGCGAACTGGGACGGTAACGGGAACGCTGGCGAACGAGGGGTGAGCACAGGATCGGAGATTGGCCGGAGAGAAGGTGAACGAAAGGCCGAAATAGAGAGAGAGAGAGAGAGAGAGAAGAGGGTTGGTTGGTCAGGATATGGGTAGAGGTGGAAAAGGACGGCGTGCCGCGAGAGAAGAAGAAGCACGAGAAGGGGAAGTTCTCTGTCGCCGGCACGCATTGATTTTGCTCGACAGACAGCCGCCTGTTGGGTTCTCTGACTCGGGAACCTAACTGTTCGCCGCTCGCATACACCGTCTTCCTCCTCTCGGCCTCTCGGCCTCTCGCCCTTTCAGCCTTTTCCCCTCTCGACGCGTCTCGGCTGTTACTTGCCGATCGCGTCAACCTACTCGATACCTAGAAAACTCACTTTTCCTTATCGCGTCGCGTTCGTACTTGTTGCTGTCACGCTCTATTCGATCGTGTACCGGATAAACGGAACGGTCGCGACTCTCTTTTAATTCGCGGACATTCGAAACGTTTGGAAAGAATACGCCGGTGGTTATTGGGTCGACGATAAACTTTAATAGCCGTATCAGTTTATTGGAGCAGCGGCGTTTCGAACACCACGCACGCGTCTCTTGGTGTGCCTGCTACTCCTGTCCGATCTGGTGTTCCGTTGCACGTCGGAGGGGGAGATTAATTGCACGTCGAATGCGAAATGTCGTGCGACGTGGGAACGTGCGCATCGCGATACCGTTGGCCCGTATAATGCAACGCCAAGTTAATTATTCGCCGGCGAGTGTTAACCGTTTTAAACGTTAGCCTTGCGAGCAATTATCGTGTATCGACACGGTGCATCGAAAGCGAACGAACGAGACACCGTTGTAAACGTTCGTAATCGCATCGGTATATACACGACTTACGTAACGTCCAACAAGTTTGCGAAAAAAGGAACAAACACAAGTTGCAATTCGAGTCGCGTACATTTCGGTTGAATCGCTGCTTATCGCAGATCCAACCTTAGTTTCCTTTGATCGTGCATCTGCCGCGCGTCGTTCCATCGAAATTCACCAGGCGTTTCGCAATAACCTCTCGCATATATATGGATAGGGGTAATCTACGATCTTGTTCCGTTTCTCACCCCTTGTTCGCACCTTCCGCGTTTACAAAGTTCCGGGCGTCTAACGCGCGGCAACTTGCACGTTGAAGTAAGCAGCGGCGAGGAAGGGATGACGGTCGTGGTACGGTCAGACTCGACCAAGTGGCTGGATTTGAAGGAGGGGCAGAGTGAGCCGTGGAGCTATAGGGAGAGGGTGGATCGGCGACTAGGCGTTGGAAGGGAGGGAAACCAAAAGCGGCTTGCTGGTTCACAGCGTGTGCCGCTTCAGCGCCAGATGGCTTTGAAAGAGTGACAGAGTGCCCTCTTCTCGCCTATTACTCCGCGGCGGCAGCGGGTATACGGTTACGCAAGCGGCAAAGCGGCCGAGGAACCTTTCCAAATTTTTCATCCGCTTGAAAAGAAATTCTGCAGATCTCGCGATATTGGAGTGGGACAAGAGTAGTACGTGGAAAGGAGGAAAAAGAGATGGTCGTCGGCTCGTAAAAGCGATTGGCAAAGACGCGTGTAATAACGCGCGATGAGTTGCATTGGCCGAAAAGCAGCTGTCCTCCGGCTGGTCGCAGGTTCGCGTATATATCCGACTCTCTCGGTCTCTCTTTGCGAATCGGAGGATCTTGCTCGAAGCGTATTCCGTGGTGTATTCGTCGCGGCATACGATCCACGGGTAGGCAGTGGTGGGGTTGAAAGGGACACGAAGACGTACGAAGCGCGTCGAACGCGCGACTCGGCTCTTTAGTCGAGTACCAGCCACCGTTGGTGTCGTGTCGGGGTGGTCGATGCGTTCTCTGACACCACGTGAAAGAGAGAACGAGCGGTTCGTTAACGATGGGTTTTCTTTGGTACGGTGCGTAACCGGTTCGTTGTGGTCATTCGTTCGTTCGTTCGTTCGTTCGTTCGTTGGTTCGTTCTTTCGGTCGTTTGATCGCGGTGGAAAAGGCGAGCGCACGCGCAACGCGTGTTGCGGACAAAGGACAGCGATACCGACGCGCTTTAAAAGCGTCCTCTTCTCGCTCCCTCTCTCTGTCCCCTCCTCTCTGTTCCACTCGAGCAG